CTCTTACAAAGTCAAACGTACAATCCCATTTACCTAGAGAGTGAAAGGGAGTTCTTAGTCGACTCATCACACCCCACCACATCGTCACAAGGGGGTTGTGAGATTACTACTTCGAGCAAGGATCTAGACTTACGTCCCTTTAGAGAGTCCGAAGGATGAGCGAGGGCTTTGACTAACAGGCTGCGGGTCCGGTTGAGATGGTAGCTCAAAAACCTCAAAAGATAGTTTAAGGGAGGGGCAATATTTCAAAGGCTAAAAGCACAAAAACCAAACTACTCAAAATAGTTTAAACAAACCATCCGAGTTCTAGGAACAACCAACAAGTCATTTACAAGTTTTGAAACAATCCAACTACTTAGAATGGTTTAAATACCCTTATAATTTAAACAATATTTAAAAAACTAAAAACACCATACTGATCATATTAAGCAATTCACTATGTTAATCATATACAAACTAACAAGCTTTAATCAAACCACAACAATTTTATTAATTAATTAAAAACTAAAAATATATACAAATAAATAAATTGACAATCTATACAAACTAATCAAAATAAAAACTCAATCAATTAACCAAAACCCAACAAACCATATTAATTAATTGAAGTATAAAGAGAAATTACTTTGAAATTTGAGAGAGAATTAATTAATTTTCCAAACAAATTGTGGAGGGTTGTTGCCTCCACTTGGTCAGGTGATTGGGGAGTTGCCTTGGCCGGTATGGGTAGTGGTGGTTTGAGTGTGAAGGGGTAGGGTTAAGACTTTGGGAGGATAAGGTTTATTTGAGGGAAGCCAATTTCAATTAATATTGATTTGAAGAAGGGCCATCAAGCTTGGCATAGCTGTTGGAGTTTTCTTTTCTCTTTTTTATTATTATATTTATTTCACTTGGATGAAAATTATGCGTTTTGGCCATGTCATTTAATTAAAAAAGAAGAAGAAGCAAAGCAGCCCTGCACACTGCCACCTGTGCAAAGGAGTTGTTGCTTGGAGCTTATTTAGAGAAAATAATCGAACAACTGGTGGGTACTAGTAGAGGGGCATATTCTTGCTTCTCCAAGTGATTTTCCGGATGGGGGAGGTGCAGCTGCACCTCCTTGCGCCTTTATAGATCTGCCAGTGGTAATAGTGCCAAGTATAAAGCTATAAATGCGAAGTTTCTGCTAAATTAGAAGGAATTAAAATACATCATTAGGTAGGTTTTGGTTTATAAAGAACTTGAGATTCAAAACTGTGAGTTGGAGACATTATGAAGCAAAGGAAAAGTACACCAAAATCTTACTCGGTTCGAACCATACAATAAAATGCAACATTACCTGTAAGAGTCAAAGCTCAAACCCGATAATGATAAGGAAGGAGAGGTTACTAATGACAATGGTAACACAGAAATTAGAGGTTATGCTTGTATAATCCTGGTGGGCAAAGGCCAATAAAATATTAGCTTCTGGGCTTGGAGGGCAATGACCCTCTAGGGACTTTGAGAGGTGAATACCAAATTACCTTGCTATGTTCGATATTATTGAGGACATTATCAATGAAAATATACAAACTTACGAAACTTTCAACTTGCTACCGGATAAATTGAAGGAAATATTAAATTCTAGTTATATTTAGTTGCAAAGATAGGTTATAAGTGACCTTTAGGCAACGAAAGTTTTAAATTTAATATTTGAGCTTTAACATAACTAACCTCAAGTATCTTGAGGCTTGGTTTAGATTTCCACTCATAGAGATTCTAGACTTAGAGAAAGAGAGTAGAAATGTTACCCTTGAAGCACTACTCAAAGTTGACATCGTTTAAGTTGATCACCTTATGGAAGGCCTTCCAGATTCACCAAATCACCAATAGAGGTAATCTCTAACTTTTCCACACCAAGGAAGATGGAGGATATGATGCAACCTAGGAAGGAAGGATTTGAGTTTTCACTTCCTAGGGTGGCCGGTTTTGGCTAGGTAGGAGGAGCTTGATGGTGTTCTAACTCATCTCTTGAACCTAGCTATAAAAAAAACCCTAACTTTTCTCAAGAGACAAAGTTCACTAAAATAGACACAAAAGGAGGTGACCAAAGTCTCTCCTTGGTAAAATCGGCCATGGGGTATTACTTGGGCTTGTTGGGCTCAAGTGGTCATCCTACTATGCCCACATAACTCAATTAATACCTTAAACTCTTACTCTTAGGCCCCGTTTGGTTCACAGAATGGATTTGAAGGAAAATCAATTCCCATGTCATTTCCTAAGGAATGGAAATAAAAGATTCTTTTCCTATGTTTGGTAATGTCGGGAAAGTAACCGGGAGATTTCACTTTGTTTCCTTTTCCATGTTTGTTTTGAGTAGGAATGGAAAACAAATTTTGTATAATTTCGAATTATACCCATATTAAATCAAATAAAAAGAGAATGTATTTAATGATACATTGTAATTTTAAATTGTTCATGGGGACAAAATAGTCATGAAAATTGTGCATTGAATGTTGGCTCATTTTCCCAAACTTTCCCATAAGGAGGGAAAACAAAACCCAAGTTAAGAGGAGGGTTTCACTTTCCCCCCTACTTTCCCATGTACCAGGCAACCATTTCCCATGTCTGGACTTATCAAACATGGGAAAGCAATTGAATTCCCATTCCCAAGCCTCTATTTCCATGAACCAAACGGGGCCTTAAGGCATGTTTGACCCTGCACTCTGAATTTTAACAATCATGTACCCTAAAATTTAAATTTTTGCAATTTGGTTCCGACGTTAACTTCACCATCAAAATTTTCGTTAATTTTCAACATAGCAAGCTTGGGTCCCACCTATTCGTTTATTTTAATGACAATTGAAGGGTATTTTCTGGCAATTGGTGTCTTTCGCAAGTACTTTTGTTCCAAAACTATTGCAAGTTCAGGCAGAAATACACTAAGTGCCCGAAAATACCCTTCAATTGACATAGAAAGAAGCGAATAGATGGAACACAGACCTGCCACGTAAGTAATTAATGGAAATTTTGATGGCTGAAACTAAATGGCAAAAAATTAATAATATTAGGATACATGATTGTTAAAATTGAGAGTGCATGGACAACTATTGCTTAGGGGTGAGAGTTCAGGGTATTAAATTGAAATTAGAATTTTCTCTACACAAAATAAAAAATATATCAATTGAATAAAGAAAAAAAGTAAATTATGGGATGATAAAAAAACGAAATTATGTGTAAGTAATTGTTGATTTGAATTAATATTAATACACGATTAGGCACCATTTGGATGGAGTGATTCCAAATCTATAAATTAGATAACGTGATAATGTAAAATTATTTGTATAAACTATTACAATCCATGTATGCCAAGATTTGGACCCAAAAAGAAAAAGAAAAAGAAGAAAAACTAATGGATTTCAAATGAGTCATTTGATATAGTCATTCTAAATCCATTTTAATTATTTCAAATACATTCAATCTAATGTGGTTCTTATTTTAATAGAAAGTTTATTTTTATTGTCAAATCCAATCCTCTCTCCAAACGGAGCCTTAGTTCTTTGAACAAAATAAATGTGAAACTTTAGAAAAAGCAAAAGAAGCGTAGTCATGTTGTCCTTGTTCTTTAAAATATTACAACAATTAAAGGAATCACCGACCTCTAGTTACCTTTTGCCTTTTACCTTTCTCACATATATGCTTGCTACTTTCTTTTTGGTATTTTTCAACATCTTTGATACACCAGACCTATGATATCCCATCATCTTTGTCCTTATACACAAAGTCATAAAAGCTGATGAAACGCTCTTTAATGTGCCTTGTCAAGATGGCACTTCATGATTGGAGTCATGTACGCGTATTTGAGTACTTGGCACAACTCAAGCACGTGACATGGCATGTTTCAATTCAAATATTAAATCATGACTACTTTTACTTTTCAACATGACTGGTAAAATAAAGGACTGGTTTAAAATACCTTCGTGTATCATTGGCAAATTTTGTAAAAAACAAAAACTTAAAAGGAAACAATGAAAAACTCACCTTTACTATTTGATGTTGTTTACTTTTATTTGTAATATTTTTTCACAATACGTGTATCTTTAATAATATGCGAAAAGTTCTTGTATTAAAGGTTATTGTAATATTTTTTTCACAATACGATTTAGTTCTCTAATCTTTCCTTCTTTGTTTCTAAAAAAGTCATTTTTGATATTCGGAATGTAGGGATCCCAAGATTGGGGGAGTGAGAATTAAACAACCTAGAACTTCAGGTATAAAGATAAACGCTTAATCACTTGAACTACAATCCTCCACGAAATATTTTCAACAACGTTAAAATCAAAATAAATTGGAAGTGTATTGGAGTCATCCAGAAGTGCCACCCCGGGAGTCCACAAGTAGAGATAAACTTATCATGAACTTTTGGACTGTTGCTTAACCTCCTTGTCTCTTTGTCTTAATATAAAGGAAGGTAATACCAAGTGTATGGTAATGGCCATTTGGGAAAAAAAACAAAATGGGGTTTTGGAAGCACATTGGGAGTTTTCTTGCTATTCCCACACTCACCCCACTAGGAAACAAAACTTGGGGCCTTGTTTGTCTTTGTTAGGGCATGTTTGGATCCATGCAACCTTTGGGAATATTGACAAGTCTTTGGGCCAGCTTTGATTCCTTATCCACCTTAGGTAAAGACAAAAAACAAATAAAGTGGGGGAGGTTTTGGAGAGAGAGAGAGAGGGTGAGAGAAAATAAGACAGGTTTTAGAGAGAGAAGTGATAAAATAAATTAAGAAAACTGCAACAGAAGGCTCATCTTCTCACAAATTCCATGTTCCACTTTGGACTGCTGGACAACAAAACAATAACGACAAAAGGACTCTCCCACGCATTGTCGACAACGTTGCCATGAAGTCCTGTCCTCCAAAGCTCACAGCTTTTAATTAAGATCAATTGAGCTAACTTACTCTGTGATAAAAACAGAGGAAACCCAGAAGAAGCCCGCTTGCATAACGAGGGATTGAAGAGGATATCCTTTGAATTCTCATGGGATTCTTCATGGGTTTTGATCAATTACAAAACCCAGTAAGGATTTGGCTCATCTTCCTTCGCTTGGTTAGTTCTGGTACTAGTTTGTTCAGCTGCTTTTGTTGGTTTTCTCTGTTCTCTTTGTAACTGCTTAGCGCTTAGGTGACTTCTTTTGTGAATTTATCTCACTTGATTCTTAGCCAGGTTAGCTTGTCTAGCTTTTGGTTCAGAATAAATTGCTGATAATTTTCTTCGGATTCCCTCTTACTGATAAATTTGAAACCCTCTTTCCGATAGTTTGGTCTGTTCTTTGCATATTTATTGTGAATTTGTGATACATTCTATAAATTCTTAGCCTTTTAGGTGCTTTGATAGAAAAGTGCTCTGGTTCTAAATTACTTTCATTACCTATTGTGAATGCCTCGTTGAGAGTAAGCATTTTTCTGAAATTGTGTATTCATGCAAATATGGGTTCTTGCATGAGCAGTAGAATATTTCCCTAGAAGTCTTGGACTTATCTTATCACTTACCAGTTCCATTGTGAAATGATATTGATCTTTCTCCTTCTGTTGACAATCATCTAATTTTGTTCCCCAATTACCAAATCCTTCTTGTTTGTTATATGACACCAATGTTCCAAGACGAAGGGTCATCATCTGCAACTTCATCTCCTCTCCAATTCTTTTCCATGATGTCGCTTTCGCCTAGTTAGGATCACCATACCCATGGCTTAAAGAGCTAAAATCTGAGGAGCGGGGTTTGTATTTGATCCACTTGTTGCTCACTTGTGCAAATCATGTTGCCACGGGAAGCCTTGAAAATGCAAATGTTGCCCTTGAGCAAATTTCCCAACTCGCCTCTGCTGATGGTGATACCATGCAGCGGATTGCTGCATACTTCACTGAGGCTCTTGCTGATCGAATCCTCAAAGCTTGGCCTGGTCTTCACAGGGCCCTTAATTCCACTAAAATATCTTTGGTTTCTGAAGAATTTCTAGTTCGGAAAGTGTTTTTTGAGATGTTGCCATTCCTAAAGGTGGCTTTTGTGCTTGCAAACCAAGCTATTACTGAAGCCATGGAAGGGGAAAAGATGGTGCATGTAATTGATCTCAATGCAGCTGAACCTGCACAATGGATTGCTCTTCTTCAAGTTTTAAGTGCAAGGCCTGAAGGTCCACCTCATTTGAGAATTACTGGTGTTCATCAACAGAAAGAGGTGCTAGATCAAATGGCTCATAGGTTGACTGAGGAAGCAGAAAAACTGGATATCCCATTTCAGTTCTGTCCCATAGTCAGCAAATTGGAAAATCTTGATATGGAAAAACTTCGCATCAAAACTGGTGAGGCTCTAGCTATCAGCTCAGTTCTTCAGTTGCACTCCCTTTTGGCGTCTGATGATGAACTTTTGAAAAAGAAATCCCCGTTAGCGTCAAAGAGTTCAAGTGGAATTCCCTTACCAAGAGTATTGCAAATGAACCAAGGCACCCTGGGTGAGTTGCTAGAGAAAGAGATGGGCAACGGGTATAGTGCGAGTCCTGACTCAACCTCGTCATCACCACTATCTTTGACTGCTTCGATGAAGTTGGATAGCTTTCTTAATGCATTTTGGAGCTTGACACCAAAGGTCATGGTAATAACCGAACAAGATTCTAACCATAATGGCTCCACTCTAATGGAGAGGCTATTGGAAGCTCTGTACTCATATGCTGCATTGTTTGATTGCTTGGAGTCTACAATGTCGAGAAATTCAATAGAGAGGCTGAAGGTGGAGAAGATGCTCTTTGGGGAGGAAATAAAAAACATTATAGCTTGTGAGGGATGTGAGAGGAAGGAAAGACACGAAAAGCTTGAGAAGTGGATTCAAAGGCTTGATTTAGCTGGGTTTGGAAATGTACCTTTGAGCTATTATGGAATGCTGCAGGCAAAGAGGTTGTTGCAGGGCTATGGTTGCGATGGGTATAGAATGAGAGAAGAGAATGGTTGTGTGTTGATTTCCTGGCAAGATCGACCCCTATTTTCTGTCTCAGCTTGGAGGTGCAGGAAGTAGAATATGGAACGTTGTTATGGATCTCATGGTGTTTGAGTTCTCGTCTAATTACAAAGAATTTTGTTCATCTGCAAGTGAATACTGCTAGGAGTGATACAAAGGCCCTCTTCTTGCCCAAAAGAAAGGAAAAGAGTGCTGGCCCTCTTGTTTATGTGTCTACATTTCATTTGTTTAATCTTCTTTTTTTCATTTTAAATCTAATTGAACTAATACTGACCTTTGGTCTTTGTGTTTATATGCCTAAGTTGCTAATGGAGTTTGTTGTGTTATGATATACTTTTTTCTCTCCTGTCTAATAGAAGTACTTCAGTTATTTGAAAAGTGTTTGTATAAGCTCATGTTTAGCTTCCTCGTATCGAATTATCTCTGTGTGTGTCCAAGTGGTGCCTGCAATTCAAGTAGCGCGGTCTTAGACTGAATGCCTTTTAACATTTTATTGATACAGTTATTGTGGTTTCGGCTACGTCATGTAGCATTGTTAATGTAATTGTTCTCCAGGGAAGCCTCATAAGCAATTGGTGTGTATCCATTTGGTGCCTGCAACTTCATCAATTCTGCATAAACAACTTTCTGGCGTTGATTTTTAAGTCATACGCAAGATGAGAGTGAATTTTTTTTTTTGCGTCTCCTTTTCAAAGAACACAACCAACTCTCGATGATGAGATTTGAATTCAAAGTTTCATTCAATTAAGTGAAGACTAAATGTCACTAGACCGAATGGTTGATTGCCACAGAGTCTGTGCAAACCAATTTGAATTACGCATACAGTTATGTCCTGTGGAGTAAGTTGCATTACACATATTTGTGCCGAAAACATGTAGAGCATTGGTCTCCGACTACTTAGATTATGCTTTGTTGTGGAGAGAGAGAGAGAGAGAGAGAGAGAGAGAGAGCACAGGAGGTAATTACAAAGGATTGTTGGATTTAGTGCCTTATCTTTTGCTTGGTTAAAATTTATTGCCTCATATGGAAATTTGAAGAAAAATTTGCTACTTCAAAATATTTGGCCTCTAGCAACCGTGGACCAATCGAAAAGATCCTGTCGTGATTGAGAATATTTACATTACCAAATTTTACATCAACATATAAGCATAATAGAAACAACCTCTCCCATATGCAGTAATAACGGCATCAATGTACAAAGATAGGAAATAAACAATGTAAAAACTTGTTATGTTGTAACCTTTTAAGAATAAACACCATATTGATTTTGCAACAAGAGCACTTGTAAAAACGAAACTTTTGAGTCGCACGAAGCGCGTATGATAAATAAATAATAATAATTTGTTACGCATGAGAAGCGCGTGTGAAGACGCTAGTTATTATAATTTTATCTGGTTATATTCATCCATATTTTGTAACTGTCGGAACTTTTTCTTTGGTTTTCTACGCTGCCTTTGCAGGAGGAATTTGGTAAGAGGCTTCGAGTATTACCCCAAAGGCATTTTGCATGGACGCCTTCAATTTGTGGGAATCTATGAAGCCTTTTTCAGCTCCGAATGCAACTCTCAGCTTTCCCATATAACTAAGGGCCGTTATAGTAAGACACTGCATGGATAAAACACCATCAAATAAAACATCATATCATCATATATATATATATATTAATGGGAAAAAAAAGCTACATAATTTTAATATTTATAACCAGAACCTCCTAAAAAAAAAAGCAATGAAAATTAATGAAATTGAAACTCGAGGGCCTATATTAAGAATGACTTCAAATATCTAGGGGGTGTTTGAATCGGCCTAGCTCAAAATTGCAATATTAAACGTAATCTATCAAAAGAAGAAAATAAAAATAAAAAGAGGCTTTTGAATTGTAAAGGGGTGAGCATTTGAACTGGCCTAGGTTCAAAAACCAAACCAAACCAAACCGCTTTGGATCAGTTCTAGTCATGGTTTTTGTTTTCAAAAAATCAATATAAACTGAACCAGACCGGTTATGTCAAGTTTACCTATTCATTTATATCCAAAATTATTAGTAAGTCTAATCAATATTTAAATAACATTAATAACTCCAAGTAATATTTATATATTTTAGTTCAATTAATACCCAAATGTCTTAGTTCCAATTTATACCCATACAATTAACTACTCTAGCCCAATTTCTTTTTCTTTTCAGTGAACTATATCCGTTTTTGTTGCACTTCCGTCTTTCTCCCTTTTCCACCTCTTTTTTATATTTATATTTCTATTTCTCTTCCTATTTATCTCTCTTATTTTATCCATTGTATATATTTTTCTCTTCTTCCTATTTTTCTATACATCTTATCTCTCTCTTCTTCACATCTTTATATTTTGTCTTTTCAAACCGAAAAGTGGGCCGAACTGAATGAAAACCACGTAGGTCTAGTTTAATTAGGTTCTTCTAGACACTTTCTATAAAAAAAAAAACAAAACCAAATCAGACCGTCTGTAAGTTCTGATTTTAGTTTCAATTCGAGCGGAAAATCAGATTGTACCTACCCCTAATGTCTTTTCATATCATTCTAATTTTATTCGGTGGTGGATGCTCATATCTAAGGCATCAAATATAATTTTTTCCCACAAATTAATTATAAGAACTAAAGTAACTGCATAATTATATTTCAAAAAATAAAAAGCAACTGCATAATTAAGCACCTGAGGTGGACCGACCACCATATAGTAGAAGCCACAAACGGGCTGATTGGCCAAAGCCATTTGTTCAACTGGCCCAATCATATTTGAGATTGTCATGCTCGAGTTCTTGAGTGTCCCATGGATGTATCTAGCTGCTCCCTGCAAACACAACACCTTATAAAACACTATAAAGTTTCTTTTCTTTTCTTTTATTTTTCGAAAGGAATATTCTAAAGTTCTAAGAGAGACTAATAGATTTTTGGTATATTAACGCGCCGCGGAGATTCAAATTTAGGATCTCTTTCACGTTAAAATGATAGTATATTAAAAGCTAGTTTGTTAATAAGTACATTTAAAGTGTTTTGAACGGATTACGCAAACTTGACTTATGAGGTCTTCATGCCCAAATTATATTTCCTACAAAACATTCTATATTATACTTACATTTTAGTATGAGATGAGATTTTAGTAACGTAACATATTAGATATCTAACGCTAATATTTATGAAAGAAAAAAAAGGAAATTGAGAAGATGGTAATTAGGACATGGAAAAGAGCATATATATAATAAATTGTTAATTACGTACCTCAGGGCCTCTAAATTTCTTTAAAACATCCAACAGCCAGCTAGTGAGGTAGCCAGCGGCAGAACTTCTCTTTTTCTTGATTATTTTTTGTGCTTCCCAAACAAAGTCAAGTGGGTTTGAGATTTTAGTCGACTTGGGCATGACACATGTAAGAAGCCAAATTGGTTTCCCCATGACATCTCATCATTATTGGGTTCGATCATCTCATTGATTGGCATGTAACCCTCGATGTTTCTGGTATTGAGTAGCACCAATGCCGTACAATGTTCATTGCTTGATTTTTGGTAACCTCTTGCATGTATATTCTGGTGCCCAAGAAGATGATTCCGGCAATCACATCATTTGTCGTCTGCAATTGTTATTGTAAATTTCATTCAAATAATATAATCACTATTAAAAAGAAACTAAGAAAAGAAAGGGTTTGTGTAGGAGTTATAATCCTAATCAAATGTTTGTGTTCTAAAAACACTACATGGATCGGATTATGTCTAATCCTATTAGGTCCAAATAGTAGGATCATAAATCTCATCAAAAGGGTGGGATTAAGTTGGATGCAATTATGTTTAATTTTTGCCTGGAAAAGGAACTTATTTCATTTAAAAATTAATAATAATTGTGTAGGGAAATTTGAATTTATGCTAGGACACAACCGGAAAGCTCAATTGTGTGTGAAAATAAATGTTTTGAACGCAAATATGATAATCCAATTTTGATCAGAATAGCAAATTTCATTAGAAAAGTTCTTACAGGGGACAACCAACACGTCTACAAAACAACCAAAGCACAAAAGAGGAACAAAGTCCATCCGCCAAAACTGGACAAACAGGCAGTGTCCGCATCACTAAAATTAAGCATGATCATAAGTCAAGTTCACAAAATTACCCAAAATAACGAAAACCCTAATATAACACATAAGCCTAATGAGCTATAGATCATGTAACGTATGAAAACCCCAATATAGTATTGTACTGCGTATTTGTGTATTTCCTGGTGGCTGCCTGGTACATTGACAAATCAATGTCAACATGCAACATTAACTATTAGTACGTAGTTTTTGACAAAGTTAGAAAGTGAAAAAGAGAAAACTCACACGCAAAGTACGATGGGGACTTGAACTCACCAAAGTTTGGCACTTCTCAAAGTTTATGATCTCAAGGTACTCTCCAAAATTTAATGAATGCACCAACATTTTTTGCAGGGCCAACTCTCCAAAATCTAATGAATGCACCAACTTTTCTTACTTTATACTGCAGCAATTTAATTGTCTGTCTTTAACATTTATGTTTACTACTGTATATTTTTTTGGGTACTTTTAACATTACTACCACTGGAACAAGATTAGAGTAACCATTCTTGACCATCTAATGCTTTGCCTCTAATTAGGTTGGAAACATCTTTTCCCGAATTTCTTTTTTGTCGTAGATATATGTTAATGTTCAATAAAAACAGAAATCATTAAAAGAAAAGAAAAATGGTACATAATCTTACCACTCCAAGTTTGTTCTTGATCCGTTTGATTTCATCAATGGAGAACGTCAAGGTTGATAGTGTTATTGGCCGAAACTCAACTCCATCTTCCCCAGACCTAATCGGAGTTCGATCATCTTCTACGAAATTGCTCTTCAAAATGCTCCAACTGAAATCCGATACAGTTTGGAAAACTGAAGAGAAAAACTGAGACACAATTTTAGTCTTGTGAGTGGTTTGTGGTCCTGAGCTCTTCAGGGAAGGAAATGTTAGAGGAACAGAAGGGTTTTGAGCACTTTGCAGACAAGAAAGAAGAGCACCCATTAGAGAGTAGCCATCACCTAGGGCATGGTGAAGCTTGAAAATCAGGGTACCAGCTGCGTGGCTTGTTGGGTACTTGAGAATGTGAATTTCCCATAATGGCCTGTTTTGTGGGAGTTTTTCTGCTGCTATATTTGATATGTAGTCATCAAAATACTCATCATAGGATTCTGGTGACATTTTAGAAGGGAAAATGGGGACATGAACATGGTCTTCAAGCTTCACTTCAACCCTCTTCCATTGTTTCTTTTGATCTACATTGTCACTTACCTGTTTAATAATTCAGATAATTGATATCAAATCTTTAGTCTTTCTTTTTTTTTCGCAGTAAGCTGGCGGTTTTCACACTCTCATGTTTTCTCATTGCCAGTATTCGAGTAAATCAAATGTTAACGAGTAAAAAGAAGAGGAGACTAGTGAAATTGAACAAAATGGGAGTGTGAAAATCGCTTCCGTTTCCAATAAAATGACAAGAGAGAGGAAGAGATCTAGAGAGAGAGAAGACAAACCATGATAGAAGAGAAGCGAGGGTTGATGGGGAGGAAGACATCTTGAAGCAAAGAGAGAGCTTGGGAATCATTGATTGGAAGCTCAAATTCCAAAACAGCAAGAATTGCAACAGATAAGATAGAACTGTTGAAGTATTGGCCAGTGGGGCTCACTGGCTCTACTTCTCCTTCCTCCCTAAACTCCATTATGCTTCACTTTGCCTCCAATGAACTTTGATTTCTCCAGTTACCTTTCACCAAACCAGAGAGCAGATATTAATAATCTGAGTATTTGCAGCTTCTAATTAATGTGTGCAAAAACTAGGTAGGAAAGTCGACACTCATTTATTATTGAATAGAGCTCATCATCACAACAATTTATATAAGAGCAATGCTTGACATACCACATTATTTAATTACGAGTTTTAATATGAAACTTTACATAAATATCGATTTTTTATGTTTTAATAAAAGCATGGAAATAAGAAATTAAATTAATTCCAATACATATGAAAAGGAAAGAAGAATAAATTAGAATAATTCCAATACACATTCGTAATAAATAAACATGTCATGAAAACTATCAGTCTCCACATGAATCCTGATAAAGGATAATTTCTCCTTACACAACATGTGATGCATAAATGCGAGAGAGGCAAGTGCAATGCCAAAGTTTTTCTTTTTATTTTATTTTTGAATTCAGAACCTTATGCATCTTCCATGTGAAGGCTTTTTTTTAGGTATTATTGTAGGGAGTTGATTTCCTCACTCCCTTTTTCTTCACTTACACTCCCTTTTGCTTTTTAATACTTTTTAATCAATTTGTTCTTTCTCTTTCCTATTCTATCCTTACTCTATATTAATTTCTTTTTTACTTCACTTTTATATTATTTCTTTTCTTTATACTTAATTTTCCAACTTACACTCCATTTTCAGTATTAAAGGGAAAAAAAAACTTAATTTCTTACTCGATTAAAGAAAAAAAAAGAGACTGAAAATAGAGTGCAAGTTGAAAAATTAAGTATAAAGAAAAAGAACTAATATAAAAGTTAAGTAAAAAGAAATTAACGTAGAGTAAGGGTAGAATAGGAAAGAGAAAGAACAAAATTGATAAAGAAGTATTAAAAAGCAAAATAGAGTGTAAGTGGAGAAAATGGGAGTAGGGAAATCATATCCCTTATTGTATTAAATAGAAGAACCAAATTTCCACAACCCTACTGCTATTGGCCACCAAACCTCCCTTAATTAGGTAGGTCCCTGGAGCAGGGGTCACTATTAAAAAGATGACATTTGATCCCACATTGTACGGCAGTGCGGTGTAATTAGGTTGATGATCAATTGGCCAGAGAGATTACACAGGGCAGCCGGAAAAGAACAAGTCATATGAAATAATTATCTTTAAATTAGGAGAAAAATTTAGTTGCAATGCTATTTCGGGTCAATAATGCTCTGTTACATGTGCGGGTGTTGAGACTACATCTATTGGCAATTGGGTTTTCCCGAAGAGAACACGATATTTCATTAATATAAACTCAATTCTTGTTACAACCGCTGAGGATAAGAAAACACATGCATCATCACCCTCAGGCCAACTCTACGCTTTGGGAACGGTATAACATGGCCCAAATACATTAAAAAAAACATTATTAAATCTTTTTAGAAGTATACATTAATGGACACAACAAATATTTTTTAAAAAATTAAAGAAAGAAGGGTGAACTTGCTTCCACATTTGGTTCCTGGTGCTACTTTCTTGCCATAGGAGCGAGCCACAAAGCCCACCTTCTCCATGTCAATCAGATCTTCTATCTCCTTCGACACAAGCTTGCATACGCATTTCACATTCGCTTTCTTCACCACGTACGGCACAGCATGCCGATGATGGATCAACCTCCGGCCCGATTTTCTAACATATTCTGTGCATTTGGATGCCAGATCTGTTATGAAAAATCAATAAATAGCTTATGTTATAGGATCACTATATTAATACGGGATTATAATATGTAGACAGTAGCAAAATACAAATTGTATAAATGTGTAAGTTGAAATTAAGTACAGAATACTGACTTTTATTGAAGATAGAGGCTTGCAGATTTGCAATGTCCTAAAGACAGAATTTCGCCTCTTCTCAGTGCTTGAAGTTCAATAGGCGAAAAGATAAGAACAATTTTATTTTATTGTCGGACTGGGTATCTCTCTTTTATTTTTTAGAGACCCCAAGAGGCCCAAGGCCCAAGTCTTGATTAATTAAATATTATTAATCAAGCAAGCCAACCATGTATAGCCTTCACTACGAAACCCATCAGCCCATCAGCCCACCAATCTTATTTAATTGGTGTTAAGGTTTCATGCTTATAAAGCATGTAAAACCTTTTGTTTCCTCCGACGTGGGACATTTGCTTTCAAACTTCCAACAATACCCTACATTTGAAACGCAAATTTGTTTTAAAAAAAATATATGCCGACTTAAAAAACTGGAGAGGAAATTAGATAAAACACACATCAGGATAAGTGTTTTTTGGACTTGAACTTTCCCTGGTGTAGACGTATCAGATCTACTTAATGAATCAGTGGAATTCATAACCTTGAATTGTTCATCATTTTGTAGTAAACCGAGACAATACGCCACACATGCATTAAATCTATACACATTTAAGTTCATGTGGTTGTGTTCATTTTGGTCCTGAACAGATCCCGGTTTCATTGGAGCTTTAGAGAATGTAGCCATGTAATTCTCACAAATATGACCCCACATTTACTCCTATAAAGGTAACGTTAATTAAAAGTATTCTTCCATACTTATTTGAATATCAAAATATTAACGTCATTAAATGTTTTGTACAAAACGTACCCTAAAAACTTCTGCAGACAGCACACCTTAGTCATAGGAATGAGTAAATAGTGAGTTCATACCTTGAGCCGTTCCCAACCAGTTTGCCTATTAAACCTAGACCATAGGATCTCCAATAAGCTGGGTTAAGGTTCCATTAGGTTAGCTCATTGTGAAATTGACATTAAACCCATTCCCCTCTCCAGATATTTAATTTGCTCTCTAGGTAGGCCTTTTGTCAAAGGATCAGCTATGTTTTCCCTTGACTTTACATAATCTAATGAGATTATTCCATCTTTGAGCAACTGTCTAATAGTGCTATGTCTTCGCCTTATATGCCTTGTCGTGCCATCGTATATCTTATTTTTGGCTCTTGCAATAGCTGCCATGTTATCAAAATGAATACATAGTGCAGTTATTGGTTTAGGCAATAATGGTATATCTTCCATAAAGTTTCGAAGCCATTCTGCTTCTTAAGCAGCAGCCTTTTTGCTTCTTTAGTAGCCTTGTCCAAAGTTATGAATTCAAATTCCATAGTCGACCGTGCTATACACTTTTTCTTGGTTGATTTCCAAGCTACTGCTGCCCCTCCACACACAAAAACATAGCCACTAGTGGATTTCATTTCACTTTCTCCAGAAATCTAGTTTGCATCATTATATCCACTACTACAAAAATCGAAATAGACGACGGGAAACCACTGTCGTGTAGAAGGTTTTCCAACCATCGTGAAATCAACCGCCATCTTTTGTACTATCAACAACGACGGTTAATAACCAACGTTGTTAAGGAATTCAACGTCCAATATTTATTACTAACCGATGTGTAATTACTATATAATTAGCCTAAAATGAAATCTCCGACAACATTAGACAACGGTTTTATGAAAAAGCAGACGTTTAAAGATTGTTACATGTCATGATCCAAAGAAGAACTGACGTACATATAATTATCCACATCTCTAAATGAAGGGAAAAAGACTCGAATAAGCTAGAAACCGTCGTGGTTAATATTTACATTAAAAAAAAAAAAAAAAAAAAAAAAAAAACAAAAACCCTAACACAAACGACCAATAAAAACACAAACATACACACAGACAGCTTAAAGAGGTTTTATTAAAGTGTCATTTGTCTTTCAATAACCGCCGTAAAATAAAATAACTACGTCCTGCACCAGGCATCACCGACGCTTATGTTTTTATCCACGTCGCGAACTATAATACAAACCATCATGTTAATTACTTACCGGACGTGGATTATAGATTCAACGTCGGTTGATTTAAAATAAAGGACGTGGTTAATTACTTCACTACGTCTAGAGATCCACCTGCTTGACGTTGTAATTACTTACCACGTCGGTTCTTATTACATAATGACGTGGTTGTCCTTTTAAAAGTCGCTTGGTTGACCTGCCGTGACGTATGTATGCATGGAGACGTCAGTTCTTATAGACTAGCAAACGTGCAGAACATCTGTCACGACAGTTAATGGAACTGAAAGGCCTTTATTTTGAGGTTTAGATGACGGTTTATTTTAAGCAAACTGTCTTGATTTTTTTTTAGATGTCTGTTTTTTTGTTTTACGGTCTGTTGCCTTTTGAAACCCGACATTGTTTTTATCTTAGACGTTTGTGTTTCCAATTTTTATCCCTGACCGTCGTACTTTACAGCTTTAACCCAGCTTTTTTAATTTTTGATTTGTCTTGCCCAAAGCTTGCATAATGAAAATGTGATAAGAATTAAAATGTTGTACATAATTATTAATTAATGTCATACAATTAACCGAATAACTATGGTCATACATTACAGCAATCAATCAATCCATATATCTTCACACCCATCTCTAATATTTTCATTCCCAAACTCACCCACTAGGTCATCAAATGTGTCAACATTTGGTATCCCTCTAGTAAATGGTTCACACTCAATTGTAGTATCACCTAGCACATCATCACCAATAACATCATTATATTCTCTATTAGGCATTGATAACACTACCGACCAACCACGATGCATTGGGTCGTCAACATAAAATAATTGTTTGACTTGAGAAGCCATAACAAATTGGTCATTCCTATGTCCAATTTTACTCAAATCTACAAGGGTAAATCCAAGTTCGTCGACTACAAGGCCCGAAGTGTTATCTATCCAATCACACCTCAAGACTGAGATTCTAAACTTTTGATAGTCAAGGTCCCAAATTTCTTGAATAACACCATAAAAACCCATATTGGAGACAATAGGGTTTTTATCCTTGGCACTACCAACTTGCATAATATGTGCAAGTAAATAAACTCCACTATTTTGGACAGTTCGCACATCATCTTGTGCCTTGGTGTTAAATTTAACACCATTAATAAGATAGCTCCTATATGATGGCACTGCCATGCTTGGACCAGCTGCTAGCCACCTCAAATTTTCTGATACGCCATTATGCTTTTCCCCATTAAGTTCACTTTGAACCTGCAAATTAATCATATATACCTTAATTCAATCTAATATATAGAATGGAAGAAAATTAAAAGTTGAATATGCATGTCATTCAATAACATATATATACCTTAAAGTGGAGCCATTGAATGAAAGTGCTATTGTGCTTATCTTGCAGCCACTTTATTCTCTTTCTAAATTTTGGATAAGTGGTCTTGATGTGGATCATATGTTCCCTACATTGACACCAAAAAATCAAGCATTATGATTCCTTGTATATAAGATAAACATAAGGAATAATAATGTTTAAAATGGCTCCATATGAAAAATAAAAGTCATACGTACTCGATATAAGGCAAGACTTTCTCCGTATTCTCCAAGACATATAATGTGCCTGGTTTAACAAGTCCCGATCAACAAAGCTTACTGTGCAACTTGATAATGGCTTCGAAACACCCATCTTCTGGCTTGAAGGCACTCCAACTGTATTAACTTCAGATAAATGCTCGGTGTAAAACTCTACAGCTTCTTCAGCTATATACCGCTCAGCAATGCAACCTTCCGGAAAAGTACGTTCTGAACATACCCTTTTAGCACTTTCATATACCTTTCAAACGGATACATCCATCAAAATATACTGGGCCACATAGACGAACTTCTCTGACAAGATGTACTACTAGATGAACCATGATATTAAAGAATGAAGGGGGAAAGTACTTCTCAAGCAAACACAAAGTAACTACTACATCTTCTTCCAACTTATCTAGCTTGGAAACATCCACCGTCTTTGCACATATAGCATTGAAGAAGAAGCACAATCGAGTTATTGCATACTTTGCAGGCTTCTCCAAAACAGAACGAATTGCCACAGGGAGCAATTGTTGCATCAAGGTATGACAATCATGAGATTTAAGTCCAAGAAGTCTTGAATCTTTTAAAGATACAAGATTTTTTATATTTGAACAATAACTTTCAGGGACCTTCATACCACAAAAATAATTGCAAACCACTCTTTTCTTTGCTCTTGACAAATTCCAAGGCCCTGGAGGCAAGCGAGTACGTCTTTGTCCATACTTGGGTTGCAAATCAGTTTTGACCCCCATGTTCAATAAATCTAATCGAGCAGCAATCCCATCTTTATTTTTTCCTGGGATCTCCAGCAATGTACCAATGATATTATTGCAAACATGCTTTTCAATATGCATAACATCTAGGACATGCCTCACATGAAGGTATTTCCAATACTCGAGATCAAAAAATTTTGATTTCTTCTTCCAACAAACTCTGTCACAATCATTCTCACCAACACTTCCCCCATTTTTCGAGCCCCATATGTAATTAATATCTTCAATAATGTGCAACACTTCTTCCCCGATATGGTTGATTGATTGCACTACTACAAAAAAGGAAAAACACGACGGGAATTCACCGTCGTGTATTCTGTTTTCAAATGGTCGTGGAATCCACCGACATCTTTTCCATAACCAAACCACGACGGTGAATAACCGTCGTTGTTAAAACAAAAAACGTCATCAAAAAATAAAAACCGACGTCTTTGTGCTGCAAAAAGACATAAAAAAAACAGTCGAGGATGAGAATAGACGACCAACTCCAACAAAAAAACGTCGTTAAAAAGGAAACAGATGACATATATTAACAGAACATGGCCGCAAGATAAACATACAACGACGAGAACTTAAACTTGACGCCGTTAAATAAATATTTAACGACAAATATAAATACGACGTCTTTACAATAATAATAGACGACGTTATTGACACCTACTACGTCACAACATTTCCCACAACCGTCGTAAAATAAATTTTCCACTTCGATTTTTCTATGAATTATGACGTGGAAATAGATCTCAGGGTCATTACTTACGACGCATGTATTTACAGAGACGACGTTGAATTGATAAATAACGTCGGTTTCAAATAAATGAGAGCCGTATTACAGAATTTATACGTCATATTTTGAAAATAAACGACGTGGAAAAAATGATGGGGTCATTAATTACGACACAGTAATTTATAAGGACGACGTTGTCGTCTATATACAACGTCGGTACCATGAAAAAGACCGTCGTGTTTAATAATTTATACGTCTTCATTTAAAAAATTGACGTCGTCTAATGCATATATCTTAACGTCGACAAGTTTAATGGACTTCAAATACCGTCGTAAAATAAATTTTCCACTTCGATTTTTCTACGAATTATGACGTGGAAATAGATGTCAGGTTCATTAATTACGACGTATGTATTTACTGAGACGACGTTGAAATGAATAAACAACGTCGGTTCCAAATAAATGAGAGCCGTATTACAGAATTTATGCGTCATATTTTGAAAATAAACGACGTGGAAAAAATGATGGGGTCATTAATTACGACACAGTAATTTATGAGGGACGACGTTGTCGTTTATATACAACGTCGGTACCATGAAAAAGACCGTCGTGTTTAATAATTTATACGTCTTCATTAAAAAAATTAACGTCGTCTAATTCATAAATCTTAACGTCGACAAATTTAATGGATTTCAAATACCGTCGTGAATTCATCCTTTTCCACTTCGTTTATGAAAGAACATGCGACGTGGTAAATTCATGACGACGTCGTCTTTTGTAACGTTCAGGTTAAAGTTCTCGTCTTTTAGACGTCGGTGTTATGGGATTGGAGACGTGTTATGTTGAATTACATGGCGGTTCTTTATCAAAACCGTCGTGTTTGTAATCTGGAACCAGTAATTTTTGTACTGATTGTTTTGTGGCCAAAACCTGTATAATGAAAGTGAAGAAATCACATTACAATATATTACAAAATTAATGTCATACACTGCCAATTACATAAAGCATCATTCACCCATATATCTTCACACCCATCTCGAATATTTTGACTCCCTAACTCAACCACCACTTCATCAAATGTGTCAACATTTGGCATCCCCCTAGTAAATGGCTCACACTCAATTCTCACATCACCTAAGACATCATCACCAATAACATCATTATATTCTCTATTAGGCATTGATAACACTACCGACCAACCACGATGCATCGGGTCGTCAACAAAAAATACTTGTTTGACTTGAGAAGCCAAAACAAATTGGTCATTCCTATGTCCAATTTTACTCAAATCTACAAGGGTAAATCCAAGTTCGTCCACTACAAGACCAGAAGTATTATCAATCCAATCACACCTAAAGACTGGGATTGTAAACTTTTGGTAGTCAAGGTCCCAAATTTCTTGAATGACACCATAGAAACCCATATTTGAGATAATTGGGTTTTTATCCTTGGCACTAGCAACTTGCATAGTATGTGCAAGTAAATAAACTCCACTATTTTGAGTTGTCCGCACATCATCTTGTGCCTTGATGTTGAATTTAATACCTTTAATGAGATAGCTCCTATATAATGGCACTGCCATGTTTGGACCAGCTGCTAGCCACCTTAAATTTTCTGATACGCCATGATTGTCTTCCTCATTAAGTTCACTTTGAACCTGCAAATTAATCATAACTTAATTCAATCTAACACAGGAAGAAGAAAATTAAAAGTCCAATATGTTATTCAATAACATATACCTTGAAGCGTAGCCATTGAATGAAAGTGCTATTGTGCTTATCCTGCAGCCACTTTGTTCTCTTTCTAAATTTTGGATAAGCGGTCTGGATGTGGATCATATGTTGCCTACATGACACACAAAATTCAAGTATTACGATCCCAAACATATAAGATAAACATAAGAAATAATTTAAAATGGAAACTTAAAGAATAAAACTCATACGTACTCGATATAAGGTAGGACTTCCTCCGTATTCTCCAAGACATATAGATGTGCTTGGTTCAACAGGTCCCGATCAACTACGCTCACTGTGCAACCTGATAATGGCTTTGAAACTCCCATCTTTTGGCTTGAAGGCACTCCAACTGTACTAACATCAGATAAATGCTCGGTACAAAACTCTACAGCTTCTTCAGCTATATACCGCTCAGCAATGCAACCTTCGGGACGAGTACGATTCTGAACATACCCCTTTAGCACTTTCATATATCTTTCAAACGGATACATCCATCTAAAATATACTGGCCCACACAGACGAACTTCTCTGACAAGATGTACTACTAGATGAACCATGATATCAAAGAATGAAGGGGGAAAGTACTTCTCAAGCAAACACAAAGTAACTACTACATCTTCTTCCAACTTATCTAGCTTGGAAACATCAACAGTCTTTGCACATATAGCATTGAAGAAGAAGCACAAACGAGTTATTGCATACCTTGCAGGCTTCTCCAAAACAGAACGAATTGCCACAGGGAGCAATTGTTGCATTAAGGTATGACAATCATGTGATTTAAGGCCAAGAAGTCTTGAATCTTGTAAAGATACAAGATTTTTTATATTTGAAGAATAACCTTCAGGGACCTTCATACCATAGAAAGAATTGCAAACCTCTCTCTTCTCTGCTCTTGACAAATTCCAAGGCCCGGGAGGCAAACGAGTACGTCTTTCTCCATACTCGGGTTGCAAATCAGTTTTGACCCCCATGTTCAATAAATCTAATCGAGCAGCAATCCCATCTTTATTTTTTCCAGGGATCTCCAGCAATGTACCAATGATACTATCGCAAACGTTCTTCTCAATGTGCATAACATCTAGGACATGCCTCACAGGAAGGTATTTCCAATACTCGAGATCAAAGAATATTGATTTCTTCTTCCAACAAACTCTGTCACCATCTTCAACCATATGCAGCACTTCTTCTCCGGTTAATGGCTCAGGAGGCGTGCCATATTCAGGTTTCCCATTAAAAGCTGCACGTTGCCTCCTATATGGATGATTGATCGGTAACCATTTTCTATGCCCAATGTAACAAATTTTGTGGCCATTTTTCAACCTGTGACTAGGTGTATCATCGCCGCATATTGGACAAGCTTTATATCCTTTAACAACACAACCAGATAAGTTTCCATAGGCGGGGAAATCATTAATTGTCCACATTAATGCAGCTCTGAGTGTAAAGTATTCTCCATTATGTGCATCATACACTCCTCCAATCCCATCCCACAAAGATTTTAAATCATCAATCAAAGGCTCCAAGTAGACGTCTATATCATTTCCGGGCTGTTTAGGACCGGAAATCAATAAGGTCAACATCATGAACTTTCGTTTCATGCACAGCCATGGAGGGAGATTATATGTAACTAAGATAACTGGCCAGCAACTATATCTGCTACTTAGAGAACTGTGGGGATTGAATCCATCAGATGAAAGAGCCAATCTCAAGTTTCTCGGCTCATTACCAAACTCGGGCCATTTATCATCAAGAAGTTTCCAAGACGGGGAATCCGCTGGATGAGACATATAACCGTCAATTGATTTTCTAGCAGCATGCCAAGTCAAACTCTTAGCGGTCTCATGTGATCGAAACATCCTTTTAAACCTTGGAATTGGAGGAAAATACCACACCACCTTCGCTGGCACACCCTCTTTCAAGATTGAATCTTTGCCTTCCTTCCACCTTGAGATACCACAATTAGGACAATGAGTTAAATCCTCATACTCCTTCCTATACAAGATGCAATCATTGGGGCATGCGTGCATTTTCTCATAACTCAGCCCCAATGCACACAAAGTCTTTTTTGCCTCATACATAGAGGCCGGTATTGTATTTCCGTCTGGAAGCAAATCGCCTTGAAGTATCAATAATTCTGTAAAACAGACATCACTCATCCCATATTTTGCCTTCAAATTATACAACTTCACTAATGCCGATAACTTCGTGTACTTTCTACAACCAGGGTACAATGGTTGATCTCCATCCCCAATCACATTGGCAAACTCATAAGGATCAGATCCAAAATCACCAAAATCATTATCATCCATCTCTATTTCTTCAGACACAAAACTGTACCTACTATGGTCATCATCTTCTTCAACATTTCTACTAGCATTAGTAGCTGCTTCCCAAGGTTCTCCGTGAAATGTCCAATTCTTATAGCTTTGGTCAACTCCATTAAAGTATAAGTGATCCCTTATAATTCCAACCCCAAACAATTTCAAATTAACACATTTAACACATGGACAACGGATATGTGTGGTAGTTAGAAGATTTTCTACAGAAAAGTTCAAAAATGCTTCCACCCCTAACTCATATGCCTTCGATCTTCTATCCGAGTGCATCCATGACTTATCCATCTCCGACACTATACCCTATTATATATAATAAAGTGAAAAGACAAGCAATGACCATCACTATAGCAGATTACATAAAGTCTAATAGCAAGTAATATACAACAGAGACGACGGTTTTAAACAAAAACAGACGTATTTGACATATATAGACGACGGATTTTACGTCGTCTAATTGTAACCACGACGGTAGTTAAATAACACCGTCGTGTATAAGTAATAAAAACGACGGTTTAAAGTAAAAACCGTCGTCGTATGCCTGAAAACGCGTCGATATCCAGTTTATTTTCAAGATCCCAAAACCCTATTAAGAACACAACATAGACATGAAA